GATACAAATTCTACACAAACAACTATTAACATGAAAATTAACACTAAGCATCTGAATGTGAAAATTATAGGATATTACTAAACGTGACCTCGTCTTTTCCAATATTACATACCACAAACTAGGGCTGAATAAAAACTGTAACAATTTTGTCATGCTAATGTTATGAATAATTTAGCATCAGTAACTATCTGGTTGACACTGCAGCTAAATACCAATATAAAGTACAGTTATGGTTAAAGACTCTCTCCACCTCCCTCACTCGTAATTTGAGTGTAATTCATTTGCCAAAAAAAAGACGAAACACACGACAAACTGAGTTAAAGATTCATTTGACTGATCAAATTTTTTTAAATTCTTTATATATTGCAATAATATTGTGAATTTTTTAGGTCACAATAATTGTGCAGTGAAAATCAGATATTATGACAGCCCTGCAACAAACACACTGCTAAGAAGACAATGATACAAATACCCAAATAGACCCTGACACCAAATCACCCATCTTGCATACAGATGGAACCTGCTGTTTGCATTTTTTTTTAATTGATGGGTTTAGGTCAACCTACTTGATCCCTCTCTTGACCTCACCTCGTTATGCTAAATGTGGTCAAAAACACTGTGATGTTTTTTTTCTGAACCTGTTTTAAAACCAAAATACAGTATGTTAATCTGGCAGCTTAAAAATAGATCACAACTATTACATTTGTACAGCATATTATTAGAAAGAAAGCAAGTATATAGTTTAAACATGATGTAAATCATCTACACAAATGGTAATATCCAGTTTTACTAGGTTTAGGAGAATTTAAAAGCAGAGGAAAATCCTCAAACAGTTAACAACACAGGTGTATTTTACTGCCTTTCTCTGGCTGATGCAACCCAGAGTGACCTACTCAGACCCTGCAGGCTTAAAAGATGTTCTAAATGAGGAATAGCATCTAAAAACCCTTACAGTTGTCTTTTTAAACTCTTTGTAGAAAATTAATCTAAATCCTTAAAATGAAAACTTGTGTATGTGACGGGGAGAAAAAACAACAACAAAAAAAAACACACATTCTATTAATTACAACAAATAGCTGAGATTTAGGGCAGTGTTCTTGGGGGAAAAAACACCATCAAGTGAAAAACTGTCCAGTTTCTGCAATATTGTGAAAGTCTGCCAGCTTCTGGACTCCTGGAATGTCAAGGCTGACAGCATATATTCCATGCCCCTGTTTTGCCATGGACTCCAGTAACAGCAAATATTGCCACATGAACTCATATTTCAGTCATTATCTGAAATAATAGCAGTCATGATGGAAAACAAGGGCAATTCCAGTTCTCCACTGGGGCCCACTACAATGTGCTGCTGCCTTGCCACCGCCCGAATATCTGAGTGAAGGCTGGTTATCACGCTGCAGATGGAAGCTGCCCTTCTGACACTGGCATGTAGTAAACCCTAAAGTTAGGTATTATTGTCTGACACGACACTGCCATCCTCCACAAGAGCTACAGTACTCACAGTCCTTCAAACAAACAGTCTCAGAGTCCTGCACGCAATACTTTCCTCTGTGGTCAGCTCTCTGCAGCCACTAATGTTTTTTTAGTGACTTGACTGACACCCAGCCAGCATAACAGAAACCTAAGCCCACCACTATTTCAGCCGAGGCGGGGGTGTGATGGTGGATCAGGATGTTCAGGATTCCATTTTAAATCACTGTTACAGTCAAAATCAAGGCTAATTAGCATATATCCTGATCAAACAGTTTGTTTATTAACCGCATTTTCATCGCTATGCCATCATGCTTCCTTTTGAAACATGAAGCTGCTTTATATATTGTATGCAGACACAATCACAACTCTGGGAGGTTGGACCTTGTTCTTGTGTGTGTGCTACATGCCAATAATAGCACTGTAACATGCTCACAATTACACTGTTAACATGTGGGCGTTTATGTTTACACTATTTTAGTTTACCACATTAGCATGCTAAAACTTGTTAATAAGCAAGAACGCATTCCCATCACATTCCACATCCTTAGAGCCAGCCTCAGATGCCAGTGAGAGTTTATTCCAGGTTGCCTCAAGGGAGGTTTTGACCAGCTGTCAACATGGGATTATATTTGTGGAGCAATGTGGATTCTCTGCTGGCTGTGGAACAGTGGACTACCTCTACCCTTGCAGAGTCGAGGGGTTATGGAAGTTCGTCCATCCAGTACATGTGTTTTGTGGACTTGGAGAAGACCAAAGTCTGTAAGGGAACACGATGGGGGCTACTAAGGGAGTATGGGGTACCAGATCCATTTGCTCAAGTAAATCTGTTCTTGTAAAACCAAATCAAGAGCTTTGTTTGTATTTCTGGTACATCTATGTACACGGTGGCTGTTAGACTCGCCAGGGCTGCCCTTT